TATATATATATATATATATATATATAGCTATAGTAGGTGGGCCCAATCTCTCCTGCCCGACACCAAACCTCAATTTCTTCGTTCCTTTGGCTAGCAACAGAACTATTTCCGTATGAAGGACTTGAATTCGGGTGTGCGTAACGGTGACTTGAATTAAGAAATATTCTGGGTGAATAGTGTTTGAAGCATAAACCATTGAGAAAGGATTTTCCTAGGCTTCTGGTAGAATATGCTACAAATCATTGAATTGATTGAACCTCTTTGGAACTTCTAAAACTATTATTGTTTCAAGTAAGCATATAGTTTTGGAGATGAAATATGTTTTAATGTCATCATATATTAGTGTAGAGAGAGAGAGTGCCTTGTTGAGAAGCGATTTCTGGCTAACACGGAGCAACAGTGCAGTAATGAGTTCCAGTGTCATGTAATTGACTGTGGGAAGCTTCTTCAATATGTTTCTCATCAGCGGTATGCTAGAACGGGCACCCCGGACTTCATTGTGTAGCTCTGAAGTGATTAATGGCTGAGGAAGGCTAGCCAGGTAACACTTGACAAGAGCTGCAACATCAACTGGGTTCACACCTTCAGGTAGTGGTGCATTCAAGTCTGAAAGACAAGAAAGTAGTATAAGAATCAGTTTATCACCATAAATGATATAGAATATGAAATTAATATCTACAATTGAACCACAATTAGTACCTTGGTTGTATAATGACACTAATTGCTGGATGGCCTTCTTGTTTCCTTCAGACTTGAATAAATCGGGAGAATTCAGTCCTGAAACAAACCTTCTAAGTCATCAAAAGAAGATGCTACAGAATGCAAATAGATTCTCACTTACTATACCTGATAATACAAGATAATCTGCAGATTTGATCAATAAAAAAGGAATAGGCCTGGTGGATTCTTGCCGCTGCACTGTAACCTCTATCGGCACACCAAACACTGAACAAAACAATTGGGTGCCTCAGCTACAACTCAAACGATCAAGTTGAAAGACAGATGACTTTTCTTTCTGGGTCTTTGCGCCAAAAAATAAAGGGGAACTTTTACGCCAAAAAAATAAAAGGGAACTTACCATCGGTGCTTGCAACACCCTGCCAAATTAAAGAAAAAGTGAAGTCAGTATATCTAAACCATTTGACTGAATAAAACAGGCCAAGGGAAAACAAATACCTTCTGCCATCGCTCAATATCAGTCAATAGGGTTTTGCTCTTTTTGGCAGTCTTCTTTGCCACCTGGACATAAGTTATTATCTCAGAGATGTCAAGGATCAGGTTAAGTCATACATAAATAAAACACTTTTAACACATATATTTATGTATTATAAGAGTTACACTTTTATGACAACAGGTAAGTATTTAAATAAAGGAGCAAAAACTTCCTATGCCGAAAACATAATCAGCATAGGAAGTTTGAAGTAACAGCTAATTTCACTGCTCCAACCATAGAACCTAGTCTATGTGCAATCATTCCAAATATATCCTATCTTTGAGGTGGTTTTCAAGTGAAAATAGAAATAAATAAAACCTCGTATCAATGTGATTGACTTTATTTAGCATTATGTCGAACTAGCACTTCAACGTCGAAAGTGGTAGCTAACACATATTCAAGACCAAGAGCCTTTTTCCCTTCTCAAGAACCATAAACAAAGATCCAACTTTCTAGGGTGTTCACAATTAAGTGGGTTGTACACAGAGCATGTGACACATTTATGCCCTTGTGTAAACAAATAGCTCTCAATACTGGGAATGTAGAAGTAATAGGTGACCTACAGCAATGATATGAACAATTTTACCTTTGCTACTCCAGAAACCTTTGCAGATTAACAAGTAAAGGATCCATAAAAATATTTACATAAACAATGATTTCATTTATCTAACTTAGTTTGCTTTAAAAAGCTGTAATTTTCCCATACCAATAGTTCAAACAACAAAAAATGCTTGATTAGTAGTGATAACTGATGTTAGTGCTAAACATATTTTGGTACATTCTGGTCAGGATCGGGTGGTTCGATAGGAACAAACCAAAATTTTCAGCTTTGTGAAATTGGAGCCACTAGAGGCTAGGCAGTTTGGTGGTTCAATGGTCTTGGTATCAGGCGCGCAGTGTCGATGGTCTAGCCCCCAATTTTGGGCACAACATTATAACAAATAAAATCACAAGCTTCCCATAAAATTTAAAATCATTCAAGTCCAGAGTCCAGACCAATTATCCCAGTCGATTTCAAGCCCAGATAATGATTTTAAATAAATTTGTATTTAATTTTTTTCCTAAGAAGTTATTTTAATGTTTTTTTGCTATTATCAGTACAGATTTTTTTAAAGATATATTACATAGATAATGTTACATATATGATATACACATATATACATATCATATTTCTTTAATATGTTAAATATGTAAACTATATTCCCCAGTTCAGTTTGATCATGGTTTGGCAGTCAAGAGATAGAAACCCAAACCGCCAACCATGAAGGGACAAAAATATGACCAGAACCAAACTGCCATGATTTCTGATCACCTATTCTGGTGCAGTTCGGTTCAACCTTCTGATTTTTGGGTATCTTTGCCCCCTAATTAATGGTAAACTACTCAAGCATGTTGCTTACATGTTCACTGCAGCATCCGCACTGGTATCTCTTGTGGCTTAGTGATTCACATATATATTTAGATCCTCAAAATATTTTGACTACATCAATCTAGCAGGATTAGTAGTTACCTCTTCCACTTTAACTTTCCCTACAACAACCTTCTCTTTTGTCTCTGACACACCCTTCCTCAGAAAGAAGCTAGTAGTAGCAGCTGCAGAAACAAGGCGTTCTTGCATTGCTTGTCTCGTGGATGGCTGCTGAAAAAATGACCATCGGCTTTTGACCACAGAGCCGACCCTTTCTGCGACACCAGAAACATTGCCTTTTGCATCTTTAGCAACCTCACCCACAAATGTTCCTGCAGACTGCCCAGCTTCTTTCAGCTTTGTCCCTGCATCGTTCAATAAAATTATGAAAACTCAAAATTGCAGAAACAGCATATAAGTTAACAAGGTAGTTCTATGGCATTGATAAGTTAGTTACCTGAAGATGAGAAAAAACCACTGGCCTTCTCTTGCCACTGAGGTGAAACGACCGAAGGCATGAAGCTGATTTCAGACATAAATGAGAGAATTTCAATCAGTGAACAGACATAACTTGAGTTATTGACAAGGTTACTCCTTTGTGACTAGAAGGTCATTTTCGACCGAATGAGTGTGTCACAAGGTGTATGCCAACACTTTATCCAAATAAAAAGGTGCATGCCAACGACAACAACCCTGGGTTTGAGCAATGCAAACAGCCTTTTTGCAAAATGCAAAGAAATGGTTTGTGTAAAATTCCTTGCCCCAACCTTGCAGAGCCAAGGAGCCTTGATACACTGGATGCCTTACTGAATAGACCTACCTTGTACAATATCCAAAGCCTGCATCGCACAAATGAGATTTTTTTTAATTACTGAAATCTAAACATACAAGTAACTGTTAGCCCTGATAATTAGTAAATAGCCTTTGTTAATCTATATCCATGAAACACCGAATTTCATTTTGAAGATCAAATGGTGAATTAGAAGTTACTACAAAGCTTATTAAGATGAAAAACAAAACATGATGTGAACATGTAGAGACAAATGGAAGTGGATATTCAATACAAATAGGCATTGCTGACTTGGTATAACAAACAGATTATTTTTTTTAAATGATAACGTGGATCTCTTTTTCACCCTGCGTTGAAAGGGTTCAAGTGAAACACAGCCGGCATGTCATTTGCAACAGATTTAATCTTACTTGTTGTATCACATCAGCAAGAGAACATGGTACAATGATTGCAATTATATATTTTTACTCATTGATGAAGCCACCAATTCTACTCTTTGCTAAGTCTATCTTAATGCTACCAAACACTTCAATCCAGAATTATTGTTTTGATTGTAAAAGAAATGTTAGCAGGAGTCTAAAGACAGGATTAAAGCAGAATCTCCTAAATTTCATATTCCAGGCAAAGCCATCCAAACCGTGTGTAATTTCTTGAGCACCAATAAACAATCTTTTTAAACTAGAAAAGGAAGTAACACGATCATCACTTTTTAGGACTGCTTTCAAATAGCTACATACTTCGTAAGTACTCCTGGATAAAACGGACTAACTCAAATTCAAGTTGTACAGGTAGACCATCGTTCTTCTTAAAACAACATCAAACAAAAAATAATCACATCAATTATCGACTAAATAACACCGAGTTCCGCAGAAAAAGTCAAGAACAAAAAAGGAACCGATTACTCAAGCTATCTATATTCTTATTTCACGTGAAATATATGATAAGAAATTAAAAAAATCAACGATCATTCTTCAAACACATACATAACATCAGATAGCATTGAACAATCAAAAAGGTAACGAAGACACAAACCCTAGAGAACTGCAAAACAAAATCATATAATTTTAGGTTTTACCTTCCGATTTGCGGTTGAAGGTTTATCAGCGAATCTTGAAGAACAGCAAAAATCAAAAGCGTTTTAGAGAGAGATGATGATTCGATTTGTTTGTGGGAGAAAGTGACAGTAGGCAGGAAAATAGACCATTGACTAAAATAAGGGTGACTAGTCAGCAGAACCAACGAGTTGATTTAAGCCAACTAGGCTGATGGTGTAGGAGTTCTGGGTGAACTCGAGTGTATGATAACTTTCCAACTGACTAACTAACAGTAGAGATTATTTTAAATACTTATCCTCCAAATTCAAAATTCAGTCATTAAAACTGATTTATATCGTAATCTCATTTCAAAAATTATAGTAATTGAAATTTCAAAATACATGAGAAATTATTAACACATATAATCGTATATTGACTAAAATAACGGAAAAAAATACGTTTCTTTTTTTTACAAATTACATCATTATAATCATCTCGTTAATACGTTCAAAAAACCTCTCATGTCGAATATTTTTTCATTTAATTTTATATTATTAAATATTATAAAAATTACGAATTATTTTTTATTTACTATATTTTATATCCTTACAGTTACAGATTATATGTGCTAATATAGTAAAGGTGTAAAATGAAAAAAAAAATACATTAAATAAATAACCATAAAGGTAGAAAATAAGTTTTAAAGACAATTCATACGTATTTATAATATTTAATAGAATAAGATCAAATCCAAAAATATTCAATGCTATGCCTATTTTGAAACGTATTGACGAGACGATTATAATAGTATAATTTGTTAAAAAGGAAACGTATTTTTTTATATTAGCTAATATAAAATTATGTGTTATAATATAATAAATGTGTAAAATAAAAAATGAAAAGGTAATGGATATATAGTAAATTAGACAAATAATGATAAAAGTGTAAAGTGTAAAAATAGTTTATCAAAATGAATTATCTGTGAAGTATAAACTATTTTATACTTTACACCCTTATAATTAGTTGTCTAATTTACATTATATCTCTTTTTTTTTCATTTTCTTTTTACACCTTTATATATACTATACTATAAATAACTTGACAAAAACTCTTAAAAATCATCTTTTATACATGATTACATGAAGTACTGCATATTGATGCATATTACTTAAAATTCAAGATTACAAGTAAATTGTACGTTAGTATAACTTATTAAGCTCCATATTTGAATTTGTGTAATTAACTGTAAATAAATATAATCAAATACAGGATTAAATTCTTATTTTAAATATAAAATCTGAAATATAATTAAAATAATTATTAAGTTCTAACAGAATACTTAGTTATTATGTTCATAAAAAATATATTATTGAACCAAAAATAAATTACTTCGTCATTAAACTTAAATTGAAAGGTAATAAAAATTTGAATTAAAGAAATTATACAAAAAATGAGAACTTATATACATATATTTTTTAATTTTTATGATATATTCAAATTTATATTTTATTAAGAAAAAACATATCGTTTGCTCAAAACCACATAAATTCGTATTATAACATCGACAGAGACCAAAAAAATAAAATAAAACATAAAAATTGAGATATATTTCGCTGTATTGCGCAAGTACCCTCCAAGTTATATTAACACACATAATCATACATTAATTAAAATACATAAACAAATACGTTTCTTTTTTTTTATAAATTACATCATTATAATCATCTTGTTACGTTCAAAATGAGCTTAATTTTGAATATTTTTGAATTTTATATTATATTATAAAATTTATGAATTATTTTAATAATTACATTTTATATTCTTATAATTAGAGATTAAATAAATAATCATAAGAGTAGAAAATGTAAGTTCTAAAAACAATTTGTACATATTTAATAATATAAGTCTTAATCTAAAATATTCAATATTTGGTTCATTTTGAACGTATTGACGGGACGGTATAATAGTGTAATTTGTAAAAAAAAACGTATTTTTTTATGTATTTTAGTTATTATATATGTTAATATAATAAATGTGTAAAACAAAAATAAAAAAAAGAGATATAAAGTAAATTAAATAAATAATTATAAGATGTAAAATTGTAAATCTTTAATTTATTATAAATTTTATGTAGAAAAGAAACTTAAGTCTCATTTTTTTAATTTTTTTAATTAAATTATATTTTTAACTTTTTTTATCTGAAAACAAACTTTATGTATAAATTATTTTTTTGCATAATTTTTTTTCGTAAACTTTGTCTATTTAATTAAAAAAGTTATTAAAATGATTTAAAAATGAAATCAATTTTATAAATGGTTATTTATATAAATTTTCCGTATTTCTGACCCTATTTTACAGCTCTGATATTCTCGTAAAAAATTTAACATTAGAAAATTTTGGTTTTCAAAACTGCAATGATAAAATCATTTTGCCTTGAATTTTAAAAATAAATATTATTCGTAAGTGTAATTGACTATTGCATATTACTAAAATTTATTAATATAAATTAATATTGTTTTTCCTTTAAAAAAGAATTGTAATATTGTTTTTATAAAGTAATTAGAATGGTACTCGTACAATGCAAAAAGATATATTTTGATTTTAATGTTTCGTTTTATATTTTTGGCTCTATCGATGTTATAATGAGATTTTATGTGGTTTTGAGAAAAAAAATGTTTTTATTTTTGAATTAAATATAAATTTGAAGATGTTATAAAATTTTTAAAAAAATAATCGATATTAGTATCAAATAAATTGTTTAAAAGTTCTCGTTTTGTGTAATTTCTTTGATTCAATTTTTTTAGTATAATTTAATTGAAGTTAAAAACGAACTAATTTATTTTTGGTTTAATAAAATAAAATTTTTTAAATAATAATTAAGTATTCTATTTATCTTAATTATACTATAACAGGACTCGCACAATGTAACGAGATAAATCTTGATTTTAATGTTTCATTAGAAATATCTATGTCAATATAATATGTTTTTATCTGGTTTTGAGAAAACAACAATGTTTTTATTTTGAATAAAATATGAATTTGAAAATATCATAAAACTTTGAAAAAAAAATATCAATATTAGTATCAAATTACTATTTAAAAGTTCTCGTTTTTTTTTCTGTAACATTTTTAATTAAATTTTTTATTATAATTTAATTTAAATTTAATAACAAAGCAATTTATTTTAATTTAATAGTATAATTTTTTAAAAAGATAATAATTAAATACTCTGTTAAAACTTAATAATTATTCTAATTATATTTCAAATTTTTTATATTTAAAAGTGAGAGATTTATCATGTATTTGATTATGTTTATCTGTAATTTGTTATACGAATTCAAACATAAAGCTTTAATAAGTTGTACTTACACATAATTTATTTATAATCTTAAATTTTAAGTAATATGCATTAATAAACAATATTGCATGCATAAAAATTAATTTTTAAGATTTTTTGTCAAATGTTTTATAATATAATATAGATATAAATAAATCACCACCATCTAAAATCTCTATGTTCTATTTATCTTAAAGAATATCCTATCATTATTATCTTGAACAAACATTTCAATTAAGACTAAAATAAATTACATATTTACTTTTAAATCAAAGCTATTTAAAATTATAATAAAACAATTATACACCAAAACAATTAACTTTTTTAATTTAAAATTAATATCAATATAATTTTTTGGATTTTTTTAATGGTTATTCAACTAAACTTGAATTTATAGTATATTCAAACAGAATTTTCCAATTTTTTTAATTAGTTATACCTTAAATAATAGTCAAATATTATAGCTAGTAATTATTTAAGGGTATAAAATATATCAAATAATAGATTAGAAAACCAAAGTAATAGATGGTAAACACAATATTGAATATTACACATGAGATATGTATAGTTTGTTTTAGTTTACTTCCATCTAATATTCTATAAATTCGTTATTTTACATGTGTTTCATAATTTGATACATAAAAACATAAATACAGATGTGTTTCATAATTTGATACATAAAAACATAAATACATATGTGTTTCATAATTTGATACATAAAAACATAAATACAGATGTGTTTCATAATTTGATACATGAAAACATAAATACGGTTGTTGGGAATTTATTCTTATAACCTTTACATGGAGTTTCAACAATTATTTGCAGAAAAACTAGTAACATGTGTTCCATGTTTTAGTACATTTTTCTAACGATAACATTATGGATTTTTTTTAAAGAATTAATCAAGACACGTCTTAAATTAACCTATCTTATCATTGCATCGATCAGGCCTACTTACGCGAGATTCAAGGTGCACCATGGGTCCGAGCCCCCATAAATGGTTACAAAACAACTATTCCCGCAAGACGTGGTTACAAGCTCAGGTCCAAATCGGTTATGGTTTTCAATTTTTACACAGGAAATAATATTAACCATCTCTATCATTAGATATTTACTAGTAACGTATCCGCGATGTTGTAGTGTCTATATTGATGAATTCCAACATCGAAAGTGGTTTCTAGTTCAAAAAGCATGACAAAACCTGAAAAAATAGGTTTTGAAAATCTAACAAATAAATTCGTTAAATGATCAGTTTCTAAAAAAATAAAGTGCATACATATGATCATATATCTCAGTATTCCACTATAACATTTTGCATAGATTCATTATAAGTAACATAAAAAATTCCTTACTAAAATAAACGGGTATAAGCAACATCTTGTAAGAGCTACCTGTACAACTTCATCATTCGGCACCGTAATTTGAAACCTGTTACCTGTTCTTTAGCAAATATATGTATGATAAGTGACCCTTCTCATCTCAGAATTATCATGCCACCTTTACCCTATAAACAACAATCGGCCGTGAGTGTACCGGAAGCCTAGCAACAATGGCCACACCAGGTTCAAATCCAATCTCAGCAATTTTGCCATGGACACGAATAACCGCATCCTATACAGGAGAATGCATTTGCTCTAAAGTATGCATGACAATGGAACAAATTAATTTGAATTGGAAGAAAAGCATTTGGCTCAGGATATATGCAAATGGTTTATCTTTAACACAGAAACATTGACAGCTCGTAAGTCAAAAGATTATTATACAGGTATCACATAAGAAGTAATTATAAAAAACAAGGAAGGTTCGTT